AACACCCAGCTCCTAACTGCTGCGCCATTAGTGCAAGCAGTGACAATGCGTAAAGTAGTGCTTTTGTAACACTTGCGCCTATTTGACGTCGCTGAAATTGCCTCAGTAGCGAGCGAAACAAAAGTTGTGGGGGAGGGTGATAAGGTGGAAATGGAAAGAAGCGTCCGCTGCAGATATTCACGCCATTACTATCGTTTATCGCTTCAAACTCGAGAAAGCGTAATTCACTTATGATTTTGCAATGTTAGCTCAGGAGTATGCAGAGTTCAAGAGCTAATGAAATCGATGTCGCTGAAATAGTCTAAGTAGTAATAGTAGGGGAAATGTGAAGCAAAAGGGAGATGAAACTCACCTCCACACGCTTTGCGTCGAGCGTAAGGAGGGCCGTGAAGGCAAAGATTTGCAGGAGAAAGTTGATGACTATGGCTACACCGGCGTAGAGAGCAAACACACGCACAGCTGGCATGTCTGTCATCGCACCTGAAAGGACAGGGTAAAAAGGGAGGATGTCAATTGGGCTAGCATGATTGACACGTGATATTTGCGCATGGAGGCATTAAGGAATAGGGGGTAGCAAAACGGCCAACTGTTTTTTTTCCCTTTGACTGGAAAAGGCTTCCGCTGCATCAAGTGTATTTTATTGGCTTAGCGAAGAAGTTCCACTGCGGACAGCTAGCCGTGACCTTGGAATAGACCTTACCAAAATCAGACCACCAGTTTAATGACTCATGCACATGCCCTATGACCATGTCAACAGAACACACACGCACACGCTTAGAATGAGGGCTGGAGGCGAAACCTTCGGGGAGCCACATCGATGCGACTGGATGCCAGGAGGGCGTCATTCTGAGCTTCTCACAAAACGGTACCTCGTCTACAACCGCAAGGGGGCCCTAATTGACAGAGACACTCCAGAATGGGTATGCGGCAAGCATTAAGAAAAACATAGGAAAGAAATACTCGCAGTGTCTCGTCGTGTTGCACCAAACGAAGTAAAAAGGAAGGCAAATGCGCAATTTCTCCACGGAATGCATTAGCACTTCCCCAACTGTGTCTTCCAACGTTAATTTGAGGTGTCGAACGAAGCGCCCTTCCGATAGTTACTCATGTCTGCTGCGGCTAGGAAGAACTGCACCACCACAACACAAAGGTAAACGAAGGAGTTGCATTGCAAAAGTTTGTGTCACTTGCCCCCGCTTCCCCCACACATCGTTCGACTCTTGTGGTTCAAGGTCACAGTAATGTGGAGTGTGTGAGGCCACCAGTAATTGACACAGCACAAATGTCAATCATACGAAACGGAGGCGAGCATTGCAGTGCTGTGGATTGATGATACGACCAAGAAATTCACACGTCAACCTTCATCCCCTGCCTGGTGCTACCAACTAATTAATTAAATAATTTGCTAAATTCGCACAAAAAGGCATTCCAAGTTGTGTGATTCGTGCTTTCAGGGATGACAAAGCTTCTGCATGCGAGTGAGGTTGGCTCAAGCTGGGAGCATTTTCCACAGCGTGCCTACAGGAAGTGGCTTGAGTGGAAGGGGGTGGAGGGAATGTGCCCGTACTTGGTTAACCTCTTCTCCGGTTCTGTCAATAGCAAGGCGAGGCGGGTGCAAGGAACGGTTACACACGCCGTCTCGCCGTCATGTCACTTTCAACATGGTCTTCAGCCACGTCCATGGAGCTACTTCCACTCTCTCAGTCGCTTTCCACATGCATCACTTCATGTGACAGAGGAGATTGCACCGAAACGCTGCCCCTCCGCTCCGTCTCCACAACTA